AGAGGCGGGCGAGGCCGGCCTCCTTCCATCCCGCAGGTCTACGGGAGATCAGCTGGTCTGCGCCGCCATGACGTGGGCCGGGGTACGTCACCGCCGAATGGCAGCCTCCAGAAAGGCACCGCGAGTAAGGTGAGGGCACTCTGCCGCGGAGCTGGTGTCCGGGCAGCGCGCGCCACCCCCGGCCCCGAGGGCGCATGTTGCACTCTGGAGGGCAGGGACGAGCGGGTGAGGAGCGGCGGGCTGCCCACCGCAGTCGGGCGCCGGTCGGGGCTGACCGGAGCCCCGCGAGCGAGGCCACGGGGAGGTAGCCATGCAGCCGGGCAAGTTCCGGTTCGTTTCCGGCGGGGTCGCGGGCATCCCCGGGCAGCCCGAGCCGGGTCCCCGGACGAGTGTGTGTGCGGTGCTGCGGCGCTCGGCCTGAGGGGGCGGTGGCCATCGCTGCCCCCTCCCCGGCCCGGCCAGAGGCCCCGCTGTGGCAGGAAGTTGACCCCTCCTGGCCCCTCCCGGGGTTCGGGGAGGCGGGCGAGCCCCTGCCCTCCCCTGCCCTCACCCCTCTACCCTGGGAATCTAATTCTCAAATTACAGTATGACAGTGTGACACCTTCAGTTCGTCTTCCTGATCTGTCGCCGCCACTAGGATCGGCAGCCGCGGCCCTTCCCACCTAGATGGTTTCAGAGGCTGTGTACGGGAATACTTGGGCATAATCTCCAGGAAAATCCCACCAGTAACCTGCCCTGGATTCAGGGAGGTGAGAAGGATAATCCTCTGGTTTCACATTAAACGGCTTTCAGCCTGTGCTTCCGCCACAACCAGGGTATACTTACCAGAGCAGCTGACAAAATGGGAGACTGAGAGATACGTTGAGATGTCCCAAAGGCCAGAAGCCAAACTCCCTGGCAATCCACACGGGATCAGCTGTCCTCTGAACAGTTGCAACTTGAATGAAGAGGCTGGACAGCATGACCAGACTCACTTGCTGAACACAGACCATGGCTTGTGCTTGTGTTTGTGAGTGGACAGATCCCAAGCTGACCTTGACTTGGACTTGGCCTTGCTACAGCATGTTGGGGATGAGTAGAGGACCTGCCCGCTCGTTGGAAGGGTGTCTGATGTGCGGCTAACCTGCATGGGGAAGGAGCTGCCTATGTGTTAAGTGCTGGAAGTGGGGTCAGGCAAGTGGATAATGAGTTCTCTTTCTAGAAACTTATAGGCCGAGAAGTAGCCTTTGAGGACCAAGTTGGTCTTTGCTGGATTCATAGAATCACAACATTTTAAGGGTAGAAGGGTCTTTCAGTATCAGCTGAGAGAGCCTCCTTACCTCACACAAGAGGCAATTGAGAGGCTGAGAGAAGGGAGGCCATTTGCCCCAGGCACCTCCCCTAATGGCAGAATTTGGGTGCCATTCAGTGTAAACATGACTTAGTTTAGGTTATGGAAACTAAACTCAAATGGACTTATGTAAGGGGGTGAGCTGGCTTCTAGTGCAGCTGAGTCCACGAGACCACACTGGCATCAGACTTGGCTTCTTTCTTACACCTCTTGGCTCTGATTTCTTCAGTGTTGGCTTCATTCTCAGGCAGACTTTCTCCTTTGGCAGGTTGTGACAGTTCTAGTCTGACAGCCCCTGCAGAAATAGAGCCCTTTTACCCAGTAGTTGGAGCAGAAATTCCAGATCTGATCCTCGCTGGACTGATTTGATCCTAATGTCCATCCCTGAACCGATCATTGTGATTTGGAGGGATGGATTGAGCAGGTCTGGGTCCCAGTACCTGGCGGGTGAGACTCATTCCAACTCTGTGGACTGAAAGTGGAGAAGAGATGTTCTCAGAAAGAAAACCTAGGTGCTCTGATCAAAAGAAGGAGGGTTGGATTCTGGGTAGGCAAAATAACATTGCCCACTTCTTCATCCTAGAACTTGTTCCATTCTACCCTTGTCTCACCTCACAGGGCACGATTAAGCATTTTGGTCCTTGTTTTGCCCCATCCTGAATGATATACATGTACGATTCTCATCATGGACTGGGGGAAGGGGGAGGGTAACAGCACTGCTGGGAATTCTTTAAAAAGAGAGAGGGAGAAGAATGTGCCATAACCATCTTATAAAAAGATTGAATAGGAAGTTCTCTGCATGCTTCTTTCTTCTTACCCATCTCATGGCACATCATGACACTGAGAAGGTGTAGGCTGAAGACGTCCTGGGCAGGAGAAGAGCACTGAGCTGGAAGTTGGCAGGCCTGGACTCCAGTTCTAGCTGTGTCATCCTATAGCCCTGAGGCCTTGAGCAAATTGTTTGATCTCTGTTTCTCAGTTTCTTTCTAGAGGGGGGAGCTGAGCTGGATCATCCCTGAGGTATATTCTAGCTGTAACATTTAATGATAGCCCTGCTTTGACTGAGAGTCTGAGAATGTGTCTGTCCAAGTAAGTGAAGGATAAATGGATCTTGGACTCTACAGAGACCAGGGTATAACAGGAGCATGACCATTTTAATGTTTAGCTGCTTTGTGGCTCCTTTGATCCTTACAGGCAGGTGGAGGTGGTGATGCTGACAGAGAGAGCTTAAACTCAAGTTCTCTGTGAGCATCAGCTGTCAGACCTGATTTCTGGTCTTGGCTTTGCAGCTCCTGATGTGTATGGCCTGTGGCAAGTTATCTTTGTTTCTTCTCTTGTGAAGTGAATGAATAGGGCTACTTCTGAATAACCTCCCTCCAGCTCTCTTGTCCTGTGTCTGAACCAGTCACTGGCACCAGTTAAATTTGAATAGATAGAGAAATTGACTTCCTTGGCTCACCATCTTGTAAATGTGCCTATGAAGTCAAGGGAGATCAGGTGAGAATGTGACTTGTATCGCTGTCCGAGAAAAGGAGGTTTCTTACTTTGTAAAATATAACAGCTTTATTGAGATATAATTCATGTACCACACAATTCACCTATTAAAAAGTACAATTAAGTGGTTTTGAGAATATTCCCAGAGTTGTACAACCATTACCACGGTCAATTTTTAGAACATTTAAATCCTCCGCAGAAGAAACCCTGTACACATTGCAGTCACTCCTCATTTCCCCAACTCCACTGCTCCCCTAGGCAACCATTAATCAACTTTCTGTCTCTGTGGATTTGCCCATTCTGGACACTGAATATGGAATCAAACAATATATGGTCTAATTTGACTGGCTTTTTTCACTTAGCATAAAATGTGTTCCAGGTTTACTGTGATGTAGCATGTATCAGTAATTATTCCTTTTTATTGCCAAATAATATTCCATTGTGTGTTTAGACCACTTTTATTTATCCATCAATTGATGGACGTTTGGGTTGTTTCTACTTTTTGGCCATTATGGATAATGCTGCTATGAACATTTGTGTGTAAGCTTTTTTTTTTTTTCCATTTTGGGCATTTTAACATGGAGACAAAAGTGGTAACAATAGCAAAGCGAAAAAATAATAATAAAAAAGACCAATATTTAAATTTCCCATCACCCAAGTCTCACACTGAAGTTCTATTCCCGTGTCCCCCATAAGCACCACTGAACTAAAAAATCTATTTTAAAGCACCCAAACCAGTCCAGACCCTCTCGAAACTAAGAGCCCCAGCCAGAGCTGTCGTCTCTCTTGGGTCCAAGCCAAGCGAGAGGAGGGTTCCGGGAAAGGCACCTCATAACTCACGCAGCGCAACGCCGGGGACGGGTTCGGGCACAGGGCACTTGGTGGGGAACTGGGGTGGCAGTCACAGCCTCTGTGCTGACACGCAGGGAAGGGGACTTCTTTTGTGATCCCAACTATTTGGTTACACAGCCAAGCAAACGTGACTAGAGAGTTGGGTTAGCGGAACAGGAACCCGGGCCTCAGAAACAGACCAGGCCGCTTCCAGCAGGATCCAGTGGGGGGAAGGGGGTTGGAATACAGACAGAAGCACAAAGGCGATAAAGGCTGGTTGTGTGTAAGCTTTTATGTGGACTTAGTTTTCTTCGGTATGCACTTAGGAGTGGAATTGCTGGGTCATAGGCTAACGCTGTATTTAATCTTTTCAGGAATGCTAGACAGTTTTCCAAAGCTATTATACCATTTTACATTCCCACCAGCAATGTCTGGGTGTTCCAATTTTTCCACATCCTTGCCCATACTTGTTATGTCTGGTTTTTTGTTTTTCTGTTTGTTTTTAATTATAATCTTCCTAGTGGATGTGAAGTGGTATCTCATTGTGGTTTTGATTTGCATTTCCCTAATGAATGATGATGTTGAAAATCTTTTCATGTGATTATTGGCCATTTGTATATCTTCTTAGGAGAAATATCTATTAAAACCTTTGACCATTTAAAAATTGTAATATTTGTCTTTTTATTTTTGAGTTGTAATAGTTATATACTCTGGATACTAGAATCTTATCATATATATGAGTTGCAAATATTTTCTCATTTTATGGGTTGTCTTTTCACTTTCTTTATGGTATCCTTTGAAGCATAAAAGTCTTTAATTTAGTGAAGTCCAGTCTATTTTTCTTTTGGGGCATGTGATTTTGATGTCATATCTAAGAAATTATTGCCTAATTCAAGGTCAGGCAGATTTATGCCTGTGTTTTCTTCTAAAAAAACATTTATGTCTGTGTGATCCATTTTGAGTTAAGTTTTGTATATAGTGTGAGGGTAGACGTTCAGCTTGGTTCTTTTACATGTGAATATCCAGGTGTCCCATCATCATTTGTTGAAGAGACTATAGTTTTCTCCATTGAATGGTACCCTTGTAAAAAATTGACAGTAAATGTGACGGTTTATTTCTGAATTCCATTTCATTGATCTATAAGTCTAGACTTTTGCCAGTACCACACTGTCTTGATTACTGTAGTTTTATTAGTTTTGAAATCAGGAAGGGTGAATCCTTCAACTTTGTTCTTTTTCATGATTGTTTTAGTTATTCTGGATTCCTTGCATTTCTGTATGGATTTAGGATCTGCTTGTAAATTTCTACATAGAAGCTAGCCAGAATTTGATAGGAATTGCATTGAATCTGTAGATTATTTGGGGGAGTATTGCCATTTTAACAATATTGTCTTCCAACCCATGAACACTTATTTAGGTCTTCTTTAATTTCTTATTATTTCCACTTATTTAGGTCCACTTTCCACTTATTTAGGTCTTCTTTAATTTCTTTCAAAATCCTTTGTAGTTTTCAGAGTATAGGTTTTTTACCTCTTTTGTTAAATTTATTCCTAGGTATTTATGGGTTTGATGCTGTCATAAATGAACTTTTCTTAATTTCATTTTTGCATTGTCCATTGCAAGTATGTAGAAATACAACTGATTTTTGTATGTTGATTTAGTATACTGCATTCTTCTTCTTTTTTTTTTGGCCACGTTACATGACATGAGGGATCTTAGTTCCCCAACCAGTGATCGAACCCGTGCCCCTGCAGTGGAAGCGTGGAGTCCTAACCACTGGACCACCAGGGAATGCCCTGTATCCTGCATTCTTGATGAGCTTGTTTGCTAGTTCTGATTTTTTGTGTGGATTCTTTAGGATTTTCTATATTGAAGGTAATGCCATTTGCAGTAGAGATAGTTTTACTTCTTTTTTGCTAATCTGGATGGCTTTTGTTTTAGTTTCTTGCCTTATTGCCCTGCATATGACCTCCAGCACAGTCTTGACTAGAGGTAGCAAGAGTGGACATCTCTATTTTGTTCCTGATCTTAGGGAGAAAGCATTCAGCCTTTTGACATTAAGGTTGATGTTAGCCATGGCTTTTGTAGTATTCTTGATCAGACTGAGGAACTTCTCCTTTTCTAGTTTGTTGAGTACTTTCATCATGAAGGGGTGTTGGATTTTGTCAAATGCTTTTTCTGTGTTTATTGAGATGATGATGTAGTTTTTGTTCTTTATCCTATTGACATTGTGTATTACATTAATTTTTATATGTTGAACCAATCTTGAATACCTGGGATAAATTCCACTTGGTGATGTTGTGTGATCCTTTTATATCTTACTGGATTCAGTTTGCTAGTATTTTGTTGAGGATATTTGCATTTATATTTATAAGAAATATTTAAGTACCTTACTTTTTAATGAAAGAATATACGGTTCCCCCAGTAAAGGACACCTCATTCTGTCCAAGGAAATTAAAGTAGCAGCCATCTAAGAGCAGGCCTGGAGTGACTGGTGAAAATGTCTGGCTGTGTGGTGGTCTGAGCACATACAAATGTGGTAAAATTATAACAAAACTATTTTTAAGTTCATAGCTGAATAAAATCTAAAACCCTTTCTATAGCCTACAACAGGCTCCTTGTTGCCTCTGATCTTGTCTCCTAACCACTTACCTCCCTGTCCCCCAACACACACAATACCACACTGGCCTCCTTGCTTTCCTTCAGGTATACCATGCCTTAGGGCCCTTGCACTTGCTGTTCCCCTTTTCTGGAGTGTTTTTGCCCTAGACATCCACATGGCTCCATCCCTCACTTTTTTTTAGGTCTCTGCTAAAATGTCATCTGTTAGTAAAGAGGCCTTGCCTGGCAACCCCATCTAAAATAACCTTTCCTCTTACCTCTCTGACACTGTCTTCCCGTGCCCTGCTTGACTTTTTTTTCATAGAACACATACTCACTGCCTGTTAGACTGTTTTCTTGTGTCTGTTGCCTCTCCTCCTATATCCTCCCCTTCTAGGATCCTCCTGCTCTCCCCTGCCCCACCATGTAAACCTCTTGAGGTCAGAGATGTTCTCTGTTTTGTTCACTGTTGTGTCTAGAATAGGGCCTGGATTATAGAAGATTTTCAGTAATTCAGTAAATATTTGTTGACTGACTGGGCTTGAAAGAAAGAGAAATCCTCAGGTGCCAGAAATGTAGGGGAGCTTAAAGCCTGCATGGCAGCTGGTAAGCTGAGCCTTGAGGGATTATACATGCTGTAGGCCTTCATAGTTGGGGTCCACAGCACCAGACTATCCTTGTATGAGGACAGGACACTTGTATGTAAATCTCCTTGCTGAGAAGTTAAAGTGAAAATTAATCTCAGAAGCAAACAGCAGTGACAGCAGTGCTTGTACAATCCAGGATACGTCTCATTCTCATAGATAAAATAGTCTGTGAGTCTATAAGAAAAAGAATGACCCACCAAGAGGGAGCCAGCAGACCGAGCAAACTTGAGGATTACTATTCCAAGACCTTCTAATGGAGGGTCTGAAATGAATTTTAAAATAAGGGCCCCAAATAATTAAAGCTAAGAGAAGGAATAGAAACCATAGTGAAGGAGTATGACACCATGAAGAAAGGACAGGCAAATTTGAAAAAGAACCAAATAGAACTGTACATGTGAAAAATATAGTCATTGCAAATAAAATATTTTTAGACTAGTTAAACAGGAGATTAGACATAGCTGAAGAGAAATCATGAATTAGAGATTGGGACTGAGAAGGTTTACCTGCCAATGGTCTTGTTGTATCTGCAAGTTTTATCTGAAACTTATGTCATCACTGATACTGGGGTGAGAGTTCTTCTGACTCATGAACGAAAACGGCTAAGTCAAGTTGATGTTCCTCTCTGACTAAGCCTTGCCACGTTTACTAAGGTCAAAGTCTGCAATATCCTGTTCTTTCTCTTCCTTAGGGCAAACTACCAGGATTTTCAGCTGAAAAATCTAAGAATAATTGAACCTAACGAGGCGACACACTCAGGAGACCCAGGTGTAGAAACAGGTAATAATTTTGTTTGTTACTGAGATGGAACATCTCAAAAGGATTTGGGGTTCCCTCACCCCAACACCAAGTTGGGAGAGAAGAGAGGGTAAGGGATTAATAATTGATCATGCGTGGGGATGAAGGGATATATATCTGGAAATTAAAAACCATTTTGTCTTCTGGTTTCCCTGGTTGTTTGTTATTGTTCTTATGTGTGTGTGTATATAGCTATTTTTCAGTAGAAAGTTAGAGTTATGGTTTTTGCATTTCCTGTTCTTGGGATGGTGGTGATGGTGGTGGTAGTGGTAGAGACAGGTTGTTATTGAGACAGTCCTATTCTGATTTTTCTAATTTCTAATGTAATCCTTTATTGACCACCTTAGAGATTAGCTTTCAGTTTTCATCATAAGACTATGAAATAAGAAAAGTTTATGGTGTTTTATTGTGCTTTATAAATTGAATGGGCATTCAGGAAAATCTTTTTGGGAAAATTTTCTGGAACCATATCCTCTTCCCAGGACTGGTTAGTTATATTATTGGGTTGCCAGAAACCTGAATTCTGAAAAGTGGTGTATTTCTATATTTCTGGCCCATGTAAACTGGTGCTTTTCTGTGGGCTACCCAGGAGAACTATAGTGTTTCCTTCTAGTTGACTGAAAAAATCAATCCCGTGAAGCACATTAGAAACCATAACGGATCTCTCTTTGGAAGGTCAATGCTGCAACTACATGCAATTTTAGGTCCTTTTTCTTTAAAAATGTAGATGTATCCAACACATTTTGGGCCGTGTTAGGAGGGAGGAGAGGAAGGAATGGGAAAAAGAGGAAGTAGGAAAGGGAAAAGTGATAGAACAATTGAATTTAGAGTTTGAAGAGAACTTACCTTTCTTTTTATTACATGTGAAGAAATAGAGGTTCAGGGAGCTTCAGTTGTCTGAGGTTGTAAATCCCAGCTGGAAACTGGAGCCCACTTGTTTCGATTCCTTTGGTCTTAGAATGCTTTAAGAGAGCCTCTGTTATGTTCCCTAGATAATATGATCTAATAGAGTGTGGGCTTGGTGATTGGCTAGAGCTTGGGTCCTGGTCCTGATGACCCAGCTGATTTGGGCAAGGATTTAACTCCTGTTTATTTATCTGTAAAATGGGAATAGTGAAATCTCCCTGGGGGGGATTATTGTGAGAATTAACCACTAATGTATGTAAAGCCCTTGGCCCTTGCTCAGCAGTGGGACAGAGAAACAAACCACCATCTCTAAAGCTATGGATGCTGGAAAAGCAGCTTGGCATCTGTGCAAATGTTAAGATGCTGAAATTGGAGTAAACTAGTCCCTTCTCTTCTTAATAACAAGGCATGGAGGAATCCCAGCTGGTGCTTCAGATTCAGATTCAAATAATATTTCTTGAGCTTCTACAATGTATCAGATGCTGTGCATGGAGCTTTCGCACATGCTGTCATGTTAAATTCTTCTAGCCACCCAGTGAGGTAAACAGGGTGTGCTCTTCATGTACTTCCAAGCAGTGAAAAGTCTTTTGTTTGTGATAAAGGCTGAAGGTTTAGGAGCTTATGTCTAAAAGCAGACCCACATATGCAAGAGACTTTCAAATGAGTCATTCTTTTTAAAGCATGATTTAAAAATACGTGGCAATGTATGGGCTAATTTTACATCATGGCCTAGGTTTGTTGTTCTTGGCTCCCCCCTTCCCTGCACACCCTGATTAGCTCTTGGCTGCTTCTAACATTTCTGAAAAGTAATGGGATATGGAATGAGCAGATGCTATTATACAGCATCTTCTAGGATCGTAGCTTTCTTTCACTGAAGATTCATTACTGTTATGCTGAGTCTGAAAAGATCATAGACACAAAGTTGTGATATTCATTCAGCCATCTTTCAGTGAGTGTAGGCATATGTTAGGTGCTTGGCTAGATACATGGATTCAGAGATGAAGATGACATGGTCCCTGCCTTAAGGAGAAGCAATATATATACCTAATGCACCATTTATCACTTTGCTTTCATAGTTAGTTAATTGTGTATCTACCTCTAGTAATTGCAAACACAACATTTACTGTATGCCAGGCACTGTTTCTAAGTGCTTTGTATATAGTAGCCCATTTAATGCTCATAAAAATTACCCTATGAGGATCACCAGCCATGATTTTCACCTCTGCCATCTTGACTCATTTCAACTGCTGCCACCTCAGTGGCTGAGTCTTATAATTATACCTTCTTTGTCTCCTCCTCAGCTCTAGCTGCTCACCCATTCAGTCACTTTTAAGGCCTGTTGGCCTGTGGCCACCTCTCCCTCAGCCACCTTTGCCCATTGTATCCTCCTCCTTGATAGGTGCTTCCACTGCCACAGCCCATTCGTTGCCACAGCCACTGCCCCTTATCACATCTTATCTGTTAGTTGTGGTATTGGGAGTTCTTTCATTGGGTCTGATATAGGTGACAAGTGGCTGCATCAGACTCAGGACACCGACCAAATATGAAGGGCATGAAGGATGAGGAAGGAAGGCGCAGGGGAAATGTTAATAGTGGTGAGGGGGGCAGGTGCCACTGTGGGGGGAGGTGTGAAGATGCCACTGTAGTGGAGTGAAACTGAGGATGCTGGTGATTCTGGGGAGGCCAGTCAAGAGGAGGAATGTAATGACGAGGCAAGAGATGGTGATGAAGGTCAGAATGTGGTGTTGAAGAGGCCGGTTGTGGTGACCAGGAAGCAGAGGATGTCTTTGACCGGCTCCATTTTGCCTTTGATGGTTTTCAGTTTGTAATTGAGGATTTTGTGCTTGCCATTAGTTCTGTTGACTTCATTGATGAAGTCAGTAACATAATATCGATCCATACTACAGTCAGTGCTATAAACACCCAGTCGGTGCCATCAAAATCTGTTAAGTCAGGATGTGCCCAAATAGAAGCCAAATTCTATGAGGAAATTAATGATCTTGAAAGAAAATATACTGGCTGCTCTCATATAGTTGCTTTTTCAAATTCCAGATGCTCAGGCTGTACTCCAGACTAATTAAATAAGTTCCCCAGGTAGTTCTCATGTGCAGCCAAGGTTGGAATACTGCTCCAAAGGATGTCTACGTTTTTGCTTGACTTTTAAAAATGTTAAATTGCTCAGAAATATGGTTCGGAAACACAGATTTATTCTGGAGCTCCTGAAAGACGTCATAATAAAGTTTTCAGATGCTGGCAAGCTTATGAGGTCATAATAGGCTTCATTTTGAACCCAGTGGAGGTATTGACATATAAATTTAGGTCAGATTAGATACTTCTGATCCCTCTTTTTCAAGTACATGAGAAATTATAGGCTCAGTAGGTCAGACAAAAGGAAAGGATGTCCCTCTGAAACGTATTCAGAAGCATCTGTAATGCAGGGATCATGGACATGTTTGAATCATGAACAGGACCATTCCCACTATCTGTCTCTTTGAGTACTTCTGTCCTTTGGGGACTTCTGAGTGGGAGCCCTGAGGCCAGCAGCTGAAGCTGCCCTTTCAGATTATGAATAAAATGGGGCACTTTTTCAGTGAGTCCCAAGAGTAGTAGTATGGTTCCTCGTAGGGGAATCTGTTGGAGATAACCATAAAGACTGAGGCTTTTATAGCCTAAGGTGCTGGTGATGATGGAGAAACAGCAGATAAAAATGCTAAAGAAAAAACCAAAAAAAAAGGATCTATATCTAGCAGAGTACAAGCCACAGTGAGCCAGGGTGTAAATTCTTGAAGATAACCTGTAGTACAATAGCTTCAATGTAAATTACTTACAGCATTGTATATTAGGATGTTTTTGGTTAAACATCCAGGTATTTTTTGTTTTTGGTTAAACATCCAGGTATTTTTTATTTGTTTAAAAAATGGGTTGGCAAAATCCAAAAGTCTGACAACACCAAGTGGTGGCTAGGATGTGGACCAGCAAGAACTTGCATTCATTAATGGTGGGAATGCAAAATGGTACAACCACTTTAGAAGACATTTTGGTAGTTTCCTACAAAACCAAATATACTCTTACCATATGATCCAGCAATCATGTGCCTTGGTATTTATCCAAAGGAATTGAAAACTTATGTCTACAGAAAAACCTGCAACATGGTTGTTTTATTTTTATTCATAATCACCAAAACTTGGGAGCAACCAAGGTGTCCTTCAGTTTGTGAATGAATAAACAAACTGTGGTACCTCCAGACAATGGAATATTATTCAGCAATGAAAAGAGATGAACTGTGAATCCATGAAGAGACATGGAGGAATCTTAAATGCATATTGCTAAGTGAAAGAAGCCTATCTGAAAAGGCTATATACTGTAAGATTACAACAATATGACTTTCTGGAAAAGGCAAAACTATGGAGATAGTAAAAAGATTAGTCATACCAGTGGATTGGGGGGAGGGGAAAGAAGGATGAATAGACTGAGCAGAGAAGATTTTTAGGGCAATGAAAACTTTTAAACTATTAAATCATAATGATGGATACGTGTCATTATACATTTGTCAAAACCCATAGAGTATACAGCACCAACAGTGAATCCTAATGTAAACTATGGACTTCGGGGGATTGTGATGTGTCAATAGAGATCATCAGTTATAACAAATGTACCACTCTGGTACTTAACTAGTCATTGAGTGGTGTGGAGCAGTCTGGTTTTGGTACAAACTCTCCTGTTGTTGCAGACAGCAGAATGGCTCCAAAGGTAACTTCGGAGCTGCTTCGGCAGCTGAGACAAGCCATGAGGAACCTGGAGTATGTGACAGAACCAATCCAGGCCTACATCATCCCGTCGGGAGATGCCCACCAGGTACTGAGTGGAGATGGGCTGGTGATGGAACTCGTCAGCCCCTCATTTCTTTTTATTCCTTTCCCTCAGCCCCAGTGTGTTTGTAGGATTCAAGTTGTCAACGCACATCTAAGCATGTTCTCCAGGGCTAGACACAGGGACCTGTGTCCAGTAGAGTCTCACTGAATGCTTATTGATTTGGCCCTGGCTTCCTTATTTCCAATGTATATAGCTAGCTTTCAATAAATTGTGGAAGAATTAGGAGATAAATGAAGGGGCAGAAGGCTGGACCTCTCTGTTGCTGATGCACTTTACCCCATCTCCTTTGCCACACCACGTCCCCAGCAGAATTGTCTGTCCTGCCTCCCTTCTCCCCATCCAGACTGTCCTGTCCCACTGGCACAGCCAGAAGGGCAGCCAGAAATTCATCTTGGATCTCCACTCTAGCAGGTTTTAGGGATGATTCTGTATATTACCCCTATCATCCCCCCAGCCACCACCTTTGGTGGAAGCATTTCAATAAGTGCCCTCTATATCTGAGAACACGAGTGATTTAATTATGGGAGAGTCGGGTTTAGAGAGGTGGAGACTGCAGGTGATGGGGCTGAAAAGCAGAGGATGAAAGGATTCTAGGATTTACTTTTTTAGCTCATTGAGTCAGCAGGTGTTTGGATGCCTACACCATGGTCATGGTACTTCAGGCTTACAAAGACGAATTTAAGTTTGAATTCCTGCCCTCCCCGTGTTTACGGTTTAGTAGAGACCTGAGACGGTATACAAAGTGCTATTCTTCCATAGAGTCATCTACACATATACTTTTTATAGCCTTTGTTTATGTGCACTGCTTTAGGTATGGTACATGACACAAAGATGAGAATGGTCCTGGTCTCAAGAAGCAGACAGTTTAGTAATGGAGTTAAGATATGCATACACATGTCTATATTGCAAGGTGGAATGTGGACGTGCCATCAAGAAAATCTGGGCAGAGGGCTGTGGATGTTTGAGGGTGAGAGGGGAGGGTGATGGAAGGCTTCATGGGCAGGGGAGGCATGTGAACTTGGCCTTGAAGGATGCATAGAGTTGGGTAAATAGAGAAGGGGGAAGGGATTCTAGATGGAAGGATTAGTAGGAGCAAAGGCAGAGAAGCAGGGAAGCTTAGAGTGCTTTTCAGAAACAAGTGGTAAGTTCCTCTGGCAAAAGCCTAAGGAAGTAAAAAGCAATAGTCAGAAATACTGGTGTTCTAGAATTCTTTAGTTGCAGGCAATAGAAACCACCTTGAAGTACTTTGAGCAATAAAAATGCTGCTTTATAAGGATTTAGGGGCAGGGCCACTGCACTGGCACAACTGCAGGTTGTGAATGGTACTCTCTGGAGTTGTGCCTCAGGTAGGATGTCCCGTGGAACCTGAGGGCAGGGTGCAGCTGGCCCTCTAGGAGGACTGGAATGGGAGGGGTTTCAGCTCTTGCTGCAGATAAGTTTCTTTCTGTCTCAGGCAACAAGGTAGATAGTGAATAGAAGGCCACCCCACAGTTTCTGCATATATATCTCTTTATCTGTTACTTTCAAGATACCAGATTGAGCCAGAACCTTAATTCCAAATCCAGAGTCCTGGGTGAGAACTTGATCGGTGTAGTAGCTTGTTGTTTACCCTTGGTCACTGTGAGTGTATAAGTACGTGTGTGTGTGTGTGTGTGTGTGTGTGTGTGTGTGTGTGTGTGTGTGCACGTGCTCACATGTGAGATCACGTGTGGCACTGACATGACTGATGAGGGTCTGCCATGATGGAGGGGGTGGCAGATAAGTGTATTACTGTAAGCTGAAGCTAAGTTCCCCAAAGAGGTCCACTCTAGCTGACCTCCTTTCTGCCCCTCCTCCAACGGTGGCAAACCATATGGTCGTGACAATATCAGGCCAGTGTTAACCTGGGGACAGCATCAAGATTGGACACCTGCTTGGAGGCACAGGAGATTTCCTGGCCTCAGGAGCAAATGAAGGGCTGAAATGAATAACCAAAGGGATTGGATGATTTGAGGCAACAGGATGATATTCAGGATATTTTGATGTTTAGAACAGAGTTTCCCAAAGCGTATTCTACAGCATTCCTGTTGTGTTTTGTAAGGTGTTCTGCAAAAAATGTAGTCAGGGGTCAAGAAAATAGTGAAATGAGCTGAACAGTTCCTTTTTTTTTTTTTATTGTAGTAAAAAAACATTTAACCATTTTTCACACCACTGAACAATACATCAGTGTTAACTGTGTGCACATAATTGTACAGTAGATCTCTAGAACTTTTTCGTCTTACAAACCTGAAACTACAGCCACTGAACACCTCTCCCTGTCCCTGCCAACTGCCATCCTACTTTCTAAGAATTTGACCACCTTAGGTGCCTCATCTAAGTGGAATCATGCAGTATTGTCTTTTGGTAACTAGCTTATTTCACTTAAGTGTAATGTCCTCAAGGTTCATCCATGTTGTAGCTTATGATGGGATTTCCTTCTTTTTTAAGGCTAAATAATAACCTATTGTATGCATATACTACATATTCTTTATTCATTTGTTTATGAACATTCAGGTTGCTTCTGCCTCTTGGCTCTTGTGAATAAATGCTGCACTGAACATGGATCTGTAAATGTGTCTTTGAGATCTTGTTCAGTTCTTTTGGATATATACCTGAAGTGGGATTGTTGGATCCTATAGTAATTCTATTTTTAATTTTTTCAGGAACCTCCATACTATTTCCCATGGTGGCCATGCCATTTTACATTTACCCCAACAGCGTACAAGAATTCCAATTTCTTTACATCCTTGCCGGCACTTGTTATTTCTTTTTTTTTTGATGGTGGTGTCCTAATGGATATGAGGTAAAATGTCGTGGTTTTGACTTGTATTTCCCTGGTGATTAGTGATGTTGAGCATCTTTTCATGTGCTTGTTGGCCATTTGTGTATCTTCTTTGGAGAAGTGTCTATTCAAGTCCTTTGCCCATTTGAACAGTTTCTTAACTGTAGGATTTCTCAGGGCCTTTAATATATGAGTGTGCACTGTACAACTCTAAGGAACAGGTGAAGTATTCAGCACTTTTCAGATTTAAATGTCCATGGAATTTCCACAGTCATCTCAGGAGTGGGGTAGGTAGGGACTCTGTTCCATGGAATTCCTTAGTCTGTTGACCTTCAGTAGCACTTTTTGTACCACAGTGGGTTTGAACTTGCTCCTTGAAGACGTGAGAGGAAGGGGAGGTGTACAGAGGAGAGGCCTCTGAAGATGAGGGTTTGGCAAGTAGAAGTGGATGAAGGGGTGAAGGGGGAGGTGGGAGAGCAATGTGTAAGTGTAGGAGAAGCAGCAGATCAGGCCGGAAAGGGGCTGTTGGCACGTGAGAAAGCCGAGGTGGCCGTGTACTGTAATGTTAAGTTTAGTAGGCGGGGCAGGTAAGGAGAGACTGGTGGGGTTTAGGGTGGGGCTTTGGTAACAGAATTCTTCCATTCACCTCTGTTCTCTAGATGAACAAGATTCACCAACTTCATAGGAACCAAAGTTTCATCTTGACTAAGGGCTGGATGAGTAGGTAGGGTAGCCAACATAGCTTGGGCCCGAGGAGGTGTAAGTAGCAGAGGAACTGGGCAACCCACCATTTAAGAAGGGCAGACCTTGTCCTTGTCCTTAAGGAACTCCTTTTTTCTTCTCCTGCCTGGGTACCTCTGATGGGCTCTTCCTTGCCTCCTGTCAGGCCCAGGCTTCAGCCTTTGGACTTGGGCCTCCTGTCACATGGATTCTCTGCTGGATTCACCAGTGGTGTTTTTCATTCTCTGCCTTTCAACTGATTGCATGCAGCCCATGTGTATCGGTGAGGGCGATCTTTATTGGGTCTACCAATTCAGGTGTTAATCTTTTCCAGAAACAACCTCACAGACACACCAAGAAATAATGTTTTACCAGCTGGCTATCTGGGAATCCCTTAGCAAGTCAAGTTGACACATAACATTAAACCTCATAGCACTAGCACACTGTTGTCCGAAACTGGGTCTCTCCTTTGAAAGGGTCTCACAGGCTGTTGTGGAGCAGCAGCCAAACTCCTACTAGTTCTGCTTTATTTATGAACCTTCACCTCCAGGTGAGGCCTCATTGTATGGAAAGATTTGACCTGTGAGTATTACTTGCAGTAACCTTTGAAGGTTTCCAGTTAAGGGTGTGCTGGAAGCTTTGTAGTGTTGGTATTTCAGTTTCAGTTTTCTTTTGCCTGGAGTTAGGATAAAATCTGTATGTTTACTGGTAGGGGACGTTCTTGTAGCCAAGCCAAGTTTATCTTGATGTTCTTGGTCCTGGGTGCTGTTCCTGAGCCAACTTTTTTTGGTATCATAATGCTGGTTTTTGGTCTAATACCCTGATTGATTTTTTTAAATTCTGTCTTTGACATTAGGTGTGACCTAATAGACCCAAAGCAATTTTTTATTCAGCTTTGGGAATGGCAGCGACACTGGCCAAACCCCAGTGATGTTCCAGGCTTTCCCTCAGTGTTTTACCTCCTGCTAATGGATCTGGAATATCAGAATTGGATGGCTCCTCCCTAAATGAGGAACTTGAAGCTCTAAACCTGGAAAAATGTGTTTTCCAGCAACATCCTGAAAACACAAAAAGTTAAGCTTGCTTGATATGAGCTGGCACTTTTATTGCAGAAGTCTCTATTTGTTTAGACTTCACAAACTTATATTCTTGTACTCTTGCTGTCCTCTTCTCTCTCACCTCCCTCCCCACTACCCCCCCCCCCATTTTTCTTTTATAATCTTTGGTTATCATTTCTATTGCTGTAGCTTAGCCATTTGCCTTACAAGGCGGGAGAAGTTGTGTTTTGCTTGTCTGGTGCATATTTCCTGACTACCATATCAGGGCTAAGTATTGGGACAAATGTAAAAGGCAAGCAGTTAGCATATAGGTAGGCGTATGGGCTCTAGAAACTGTCTGGGTTCAGGTGGCAGATTTGCCACTTAACTAGCTGCTTGACCTCAAGTAAGTTACCTCAAACTCC